TTTGAAACCACCTCAAAAGGATGGCGTGACTAAGTCGAATCCAAGTAAACGGCACAGAGAACGATTGAATGCCGAACTGGATACACTGGCGTCTTTACTACCGTTCGAACAAAATATTCTAAGCAAGCTCGATCGGCTCAGCATCCTAAGGCTCAGCGTTAGTTATCTTCGAACGAAAAGCTACTTTCAAGGTAAAAATCTTTTTCTTTTCTTTTTTTTTTTTTTCAATTTGATTCGATTTCATTTCATTTGATTGTTTATTCTCGGCTAACTTTTATAATACTAAATAAATTTTGCAAAATTATAAACTTTGTTCATTATCGAAATTATTCAATTTGCACTTTTGCATATTAAAGAAAATCTAAAAGTGGAATATTATATATTATATATTATATATATTATATATATTATATATATATATATATATATATATATATATATATATTCGTTGAACTTTGAGAAACACGCGAAACACTCGTTATTAGATTATATATCTGTCGAAAAACAATGACTCGAGAAGACAATGCCTTCTCGTTTACCACTTCGTTCGAGATTTCTACGAAACGTTCATTATCAAGACACACAATGCCATGTTACGATTATATATTGCGAGTGTTAAGAAACTAAAAGAAAATAACGTTCTTATGATATACAAGATATACGATATATTACAAATTATCTTATATAGTATAATACTTCGAATGGTGGATAGGATAATTGAGATACACAACAATTGCAACGGGTATCATGGATCTTGTGAAAATGAATCGAAAATAGAATTTATACAATATATTATTTTTTCTTTCGAAAGACATTCTTTTTCTTTTATTGTTTAAATTTTTTTTCCTCTTCTTCTTTTCTTTTTTTTTCTTTTCTTTTCTTTCGAAATATCTTTCACTCGAATTGAAATACATATTGTTATTCCAATTCGCGTAGTTTAACTTTTTCAAGTTGAATATTTAATTCTTATGCGAATTATCGAAACAATCATTATATCAATTAATTGATTAAAATGATGAATGAGGAATGACAATGAAACAAATCGATGAAATATTTATTGATAACGATAATAAGAATGAAATACTATTGCAATATTTGCGATATATTCTAATGATTTTAATTAATTGATTTTTTGTTCATTCCTTTTCTTTTTTTTTTTCTCTTCAAAAAAAAAAAAAAAAAAAAAAAAAAAAAATACAATGAAAAAAAAGAGCACCTTCTATCGTGCGATATGTCAAAACCTCACAAAGAGAGAGAAAAAAAGAAGGAAAGGGAAAAAAATGAAGAACAAGAAAAATATTAAATCAAAATTGATTAAGAATAAATTGACAAAATATTTATAATGCAAAAGATTAATGCACTTACGTATACATACATATATATATATATATATATATATATACATATATACACAAATACGTTATAACGAAATATTATTTTACGATTGTAATTAATTAATTTTTTCTTTAATAAAGAAGAAAAGAAGTAAAAAAAGAAGAAAAAGAAGTGAATCCAAAGGAGAGGAACTATTTCTTTTCCTTTTTCTTTTTTCTTGTTTTTTTTTTTTTTCTCTAACAAAGTCAATATATTATGTTATATTAATGAGTTGAGAAAGCGGCGAGTATAAAGAGATGTAATTAAAGGAAAGGGGAGAGAGAAAGAAAAGAAACAAGAAAACAAGAAAGAAAGAAAGAAAGAAAGAAAGAAAGAAAGATGTCGAAAATCGAAGATCGCGTTCATTATTATCGACGTTCTTTTTGCAGTTGGTTCTCGCGCGTTTTCGTAACGCACACCCTTCTTCCGTGCGAAAGAGAGAAAAAGAAAGAGAAAGAGAGAGAGAGAGAGAGAGAGAGAGAGAGAGAGAGAGATTGTGTGTGTGCAATCTCATCTGCAATCACAATCGGTTGGGGTCAATCGGAGAATCGCCACAGGATAATGGGTAGGCTCGTCTCTCTTTCTCTCTCTCTCTCTCTCTCTCTCTCTCTCTCTGTCTCTCTTTCTCTTTTTCTCTTTCTCTCTTTCTCTTTCTGTTTCTCCTTCTCTTTCTTTCTTTCTCTTTATTCTGTCTGTCCCACAGTCTTCTCTTTCCTTTGCCATTAGGCTGTTTCTTACGTTGCCTGTGAGTACCACCACCTTGCCCCCTCCCTCCTTTTCCGTTCTGATCTAAGGGCGAAGGTGAGCGGACTTGTGCAAAGTAACACGGAACCTTCGTAATGCGAGTCTTACATACGTTTTTATCGATTTAATGTCATCGAGAAGTATGTAGTTAACGATATATAAAAAGAACGTAATACGTAATACGTTTTAATATATGTTAGGTCGATTTTATTTCTATCTTTGAATATTATCGTGACTTAAAATATTTATCATGGAATATATTGATAAGAATGTAATCTCGTTGGAATAATGAAATTTTCCAAATGTTATCGTATCGGATATTATTTTAATATTTTCATTTGGAAAGAGAAAAAGAAAGAAGAAGAAAAAAACAAAAAAAAAAAAAAAGAAAAAAAAGAATTGGATTATACAATCGTTTGCATCTAATATAATTACTATTATAATATGTATACGATTTAAAACTTATCATTCGCATTTTATTCAGAAACTTATCTATTCGTTTTTCGATATAATAATAATAATAATAATAATAATAATAATAATAATAATAATAATAATAATAATAATAATAATAATAATAATAATAATAATAATAATAATAATAATAATAATAATAATAATAATAATAATAATAATAATAATAATAATAATAATAATAATAATAATAATAATAATAATAATAATAATAATAATAATAATAATAATAATAATAATAATAATAATAATTATAATAATAACAATGATAATCATAAAAATATTAATAATAATGGTAATAATAATAATAACTGAATGAAATCTCATTCGTGATAAAATTAACGTGACTTTTTCTAACGACAATTTGTAATAATTTAATATAAAAATAAGAATGTAATTTCACGGAGGAAGAAGAGAGAAAAAAAAAAGAAAGGTATATTTATAAAATGCGATTATTATATAATCGAATGTTATCATCGATTTATTCTAATTAACTTAATCAACGATATGACACTTAATTCTCAAATTAATCGTAAACTTCGAATTTTTACAATAAAGTATATACAATTTATTGATCCGTTCAATAAATTCAATAAATAAATATCAATTTAATTATAACAAACGGGATAGTTTGCGAAATTAAAACGATTTCGATTGTTAAGACAATTTGATCTTTTTATACCGAAGGGATCAAGTAAGTAAATCTTAAGAGAAGAGACATAAGATGAAAGGATACATGGGATTACTGGATGATGATGATGATGATGATGAGGGGTTGGTTAAGCTCTTGAGAAAGATAGGAAGAGACAGAGATGGAAGAAGAAAAAGAAGAAGAAGAAAAAACAAAGATAAAAAGAAGAAGAAGAAGAAGAAGAAGAAAAACAAAAATAAAAGGAAGAAGCAGAAGAAGAAAAAGAAAAAGCAAAAGAAGAAGAAGAAGAAGAAGAAGAAGAAGAAGAAGTAGTAGTAGTAGTAGTAGTAGTAGTAGTAGTAGTAGTAGAAGAAGAAGAAGAAGAAGAAGTGAGACGGAGTGGATTCTCGGCAGAGTGAGAGATGAAAGATATCGAGCGCAATAGCGTATGCAAGGTAATGCACGCGCACGAATACGAATCCGGATGGAGGAGAGAGTTAGGAGGAGTAGAAGAGGCACTCGAGCTAAGCGCCTGTTCCATGGCTACTTCGGGGTCCGCGAAGCACGTCTTGGTATCGCGGATCTCGCAGTATATCACCATGGACCCAGAGGAGGTTGCTCGGCTTCTACTTAGCACGCTGTTGCTGTTGTCCCTGAGCAATACTACCCGCTACCGCGTAGCGATCCCCGAGCCAACAGTGAAACTGGCCAAACGGTAGCACACCGTAGCATTGTTCACACCGTTTTAATAGGTATTCATTGTCTGACCTCGGATCTTTTCCGAAGACTCCCAAGAGAGAGTAAAAGAGAGAGAGAGAGAAAGAGAAAAAGAGAGAGAGAGAGAGAGAGAGAGAGATTGTCGTCCCTGATGCACCGATAAACCTTCTGATATCAGAGAGCACATTGGCATCCTTTGTGTTCGCCATCATTCTTTTTTTTTTTTCTTCTTCTCGAACTTCCTTCCTGTTTACTGTATTTTAACAGTCTTACCTTTTATTTATTACAAATACACCGTAATTTGTACTATCGATTTGTACTACTCTACGATAAATTCAAGATTGTACTCGTTGGATTTTCATCTTCTTTTTCTTTTTCTTCTTCTTCTTCTTCTTCTTTGTTCTTCTCTTTTTTACTTCTTCACGAGAATCATACATCGATCATCATTGATTCTTCGTTAAAAGAGATTTCGCGTGAGTTTAACCGTGTTTCTATCGATAATAAAGATTAGAAGGGAATGTGTGGTACACTCTCTCTCTCTCTCTCTCTCTTCCTCTCTCTCTCATACACACACGCACACACACACACACATACACACTCACTCACTCATTCACTCACTCTATCTGTGGCATATAATCGGTTTGCCGCACAAATTACACGAGGAAGAAGAATTCCCTGCGCTCCGCTATGTAAATTAATTAGCCCCGACGGTAAACGCGGCTGATTTTTCAAGCGGACGCGTGCTTGCTTCGTAGTAGCGTTGCCGTGCCTGGATCCGTTGGGACAGAAAGGGAAAGAAGAAGAAGAAGAAGAAGAAGAAGAAGAAGAAGAAGAAGAAGAAAGAGGATGAAGATAAAACGAAGAAAAGGAAAAAGGTGGCAAGGTGTTGGTAGGAGAGAGACGAAGAGGGTGGTACGAGCTGACCGAAGGGGATGGGACGGGTTCCGGTGGATGCGGGGAAGTGGGAGAGGGGGGTGGAGGGGAGGGGGGATTTCTTCGGGTGTCGAAGAGGCGGTGTGCAGTCAAGAGATACCCCCTGCACAGTTCCTCGAGAATTCAGATAGGAGATCTTCGTTGTTGCACCTACCTCCCCCCCCCTTCACCTCACCACACCCCTCGGCCCGCCTACTCTTCACTTCCAAGTTCCAAGTCTCTCACACTCGGCAAACAGTTCTTGGCAAGGACCGTGGAAGTATAAGATCCACCGACCGAATCTTGGCAATTAACCGCCGGCACTTAGTCTTATTACTG